AATAGTGCTAGACTTGTTTATACAAAAGCTATATTTTATGAAGTGCTTTGGACAGACCATCAGCTGGTGCATTTAAATCAGCATAACTCCATCGATGTGGAGCTATGCTGATCTACCCCAGCACAGCATCTGGCCCATTGTGAGGAAAAGAGCATAGAAGGATATGGCTGTTATTCTGTTCTTTCTCAGAAAGCATATTTAAAAATGTCTTTATATTATCACTTGGAACTGAGCAGTCTCATTTTCTCCCTTCTCTGAAAGCCATGCAAAGTAGAAAACTCTACTTGATAATCACCACCTTTATGCTGTCATCTGAAATTCTGGCTGTAATACTGGTTTGCAGTATCAGACAAAAGGGCTACTGTACTGTATATAGTGTTGTATTATGCGATACATATACCTATACCTACAAAGAGGAACTGAGACAAAGGGTTATATTATGACACCTCTATTCTCCCTTTTTTTCAGGGGAAGTGGGGGAAATAGAGCAAAATAAATTCCATGACCAACTTGGAACGTGGCCACTAGAAATCCTTAGTTGTGTAACTGCAAATGGAGGAAAATTTTACAATGGAACTTAAAACGAGATTCACTGAAGAAGTATAATGGGCACTGAAGGGAAGGCGAAACACCTCAGCACTAGAAGCTACATCAGCCGTCCCAGCTTTGATGATCATTCTCTCTTGGGGCAGTCTACTTGACCTGTCTGTCCCTCAGTCTCCTTGTCAGTAAAGCAGAAATAATTACATTTACTCCAGTAGCGGTGAAGACTAATTCATTTGTATTTCACGTTACGTTATAAATGAAAAGTGGTGAGTATGGCTGCTATAACCGATTTGCTCTGAACGTTCAAGATTTCAAGTGGCTTGAGAAGGCAGAGTAGTCTTGATGCCAGAGTAAGGAAGCATGCTGAGGAAGAAGAGAGGATTCCTGGCACGGGGCTATGCCAGAAGATCCCTTCCTCCAGTTCTTGAGTTTTCCAGGACTTAGCTGCTATTAGCAAGGTAGAGATAAAAGGCAACTTTTTCCCTGGTCCTTTGGCAAGAAAAGATACGTTCTGGTGGGTGATTTGAGTTACCTTATTTTAAGGCAAAGTCTAAAGCTGTGGGGGCCAGCCTTTTTGGCAGACATGCCACAAATTAGCCCCAAGTGCAATTTCCATGCCATTCCCTTACTCAGTTGGTTGCACTGCCTTCTGCTCTCTGCCTTGTGCTTCCTGTCTGGTTTGCTGCTCTGCTTTCTGCTCCCTGCCATATCTGCCACTGCCTTTCCCCTCTCCAATCTGCCATGTGCCACCCCTGGCTGGCCACTCCTGGTCTAGAGCATTTAGACTTGTATCCACTGCCTGTGCTGGGGGAAGGGATTATGTTAGGAAGTACACTGTGATGTCAAACCCAGATGTTCCCTTGGAATGGGCAAGGACAAGCACGTTTAAAATCATGCTGGTGGGATAAGGCTAACCCTAGGGAGAATTTCTAATACACTAGCTTTGACACTAGCACGTCTCAGTCTCCACACAGCCAGTTGTTATCTCACAACTAAAGGAGCTCACATTCTTAGCTCAAATGGTAGATGCACTAAGGTATGCCAGCAAGAGACTGGGTAGTATTTTCTGGCCTCGTTCAGGGGAAGTGGGGCAGGACTACAATGGGTTATATTGCATACAGGTTGGAGATCAGTATCCATTGATTCAACTGTCTCCTGTTAGAGGCTGGTGGGGCTGTGGATCCCCCGTGCAGCCTTTACTGATGGCCATGGTGTTGGTCTGGGCATATAGCCATGGCTCATTATGAACTCTAGGGACCAACAGCAGTTCTGCCATAAAAAAACCTGAAGCTTCAGTGCATAGCTGGTGTTAGTCATGCAATCAGGGTGGTTGCGTCCTTTCGGTACACATTTTATCCCAAATGCTGGATGAGGGTGGGAGCAGCAGCTGGGGGAAGGACTGGGACAAAAGAAGAGTACATAGATTGGAGGAACTGCTAATTGTCTTATCCCAAATGCTGGATGAGGGTGGGAGCAGCAGCTGGGGGAAGGATTGGGACAAAAGAAGAGTACATAGATTGGAGGAACTGCTAATTGTCTCCAAATGTTTCGTGTGCTTTCTGTGGAGATGTGTCAGGTCAGCATTGCTCCATGAAGGTCAGCAGAAGTAGAGTGCTGATAACAGCCCAAGATTTCTCTAATTGCTTCATCATCACTGTAGGGATCATTTTTACTTCTTCTGTCTCTTCTCAGCATAACTTTCCTAAGTGTCTCATCAGTTATGCTTGAAGCCACAAAGGAGCTGCAAAAATGTTACCTCCCGGTCACTGACTTTCTCATCAAATTTTGCTTTTTGCTTTGCTCATCAAATTGTGATTTTGTACTGGGTTGCACTTGCTCCCTTTTCTCCTGGTTGGTCTTTTCAGGCTTAATTTGAAACCTACCAAAGTCAAAGGAAGTCTTTTGACTGTCCTCACAGGGATTTGGATCTGATCCTTAGTCTTAAACAGCTGTGTCCTAAACGTCTTCTGTGAATAATGCAATAGGAAGAGGGTGGTTTTGCGGTATTGTAGAACCGGGAGTCAGGCATCCCAGGTTCTGTTCTTAGCTGTACAGGGTCATTTTACAACCTGGTCTGTACAATTTAATCTCTTATCTGTAGGTTCTGTCTGCAAAATTAGGATAGTATTTATCTTACCTACCACTTGGGGGTGTTGTGAGGCTGGTTACATTAATGGTAGTCAGTCAAACGCCTTCTGTCCTCCAGACAGAAGGTGCAACAGAAATAACAAGTATTGTTTGATTCTGGTTTCAATGCACAGACAGTAACCTCATGGGGATCAGCCCAGAGGTTTTCCACACAAGAGAAAGGAGATGTCCACGATGCCCTAGGGATCATTCTGTTGGCTCCTGGTATAATTAGAGGGGGGTTGTTGGTTCTCAAAGACCGATTTTGCCATTGCAGCCTCTGAGCCTGGGAATGGATCTATGGGCACCTGGGTAAACGAGCTCCAAGTTATTTACTGCCGAGAAGCTGACTGTTCAAACCAAACGGTATTTATAGAGAAGGATTGCTCCAGGAAGGGCGACGGGTTTTCCCCGGGATCTCTGCACTGACGGCATTGCAGGGAGGCAGGTTTCCCCCGCTTTACCCGGGGCCGCTTGGGAGGCTGGGGTGTGTCGTGCACGACGCCGGGAGGGGCTGGAGAGGGATGAGCCCGCCTCCGTCCCTCCCTGCCCCACTTTCTCGGACCGGGGCAGCGCAGTCTCTGCAGATCGCGCCGGTCCCGCCGCCCGGGAGGGGGGCGGGGAACGTGGCGCTGCCGGACCCAGCCCGACCCCGGCGCCGCCTCCCTCGGGGCAGCACCCACGTGGGTCCCTGCAGACCTGCCCCGCTCTCCCCGGCCCACGTGCCCGCTGCGGTGGCGGCG